CTAAATTGGATTTCCCCAAAAGCCGGTTTGACTGATCATTCCTAATGAGTAAAATCCATCGTGAGGTGATTGTTAAAAGTCGTAGCGGTGATGTTTTTTTTAGGTGTGGGCGGTCGATGAGAAGAAGTGGAGGCCGGGCAGAGCGGAGCATTCTGTGGGCTGGCCCCTGAACAGACACACGTATGGAGGATCCTTCCTGTACCACCTGAATGAGGGAGAGCCGCTGGTGGCGTTGGGCTTCGTGGTGAGTGGCTTCGTGTACATTCTGCTAACGATACCAACAGATGTGACAGCTGATTGTCATGCAGGCAGCGAATAACCGCGGCTTGAGCTTCTAAGTAAATAGTCTGCATCATCACGATATATTATTTATCCTGCAGAGGAAAGATAAACATAACTCAATATTTCACTTTGACATGTATACTGGGAATATATTTAAATATTCTTATTCATATCTCTGCCATTCTGCACACATGGATGTGTTAGTGATCGAGGAGACCAATCCCCAATATTTGGAACCGTTATACATTTGCAGCAAAATGTAGAATAACAAACAACACAAAGCTTTGCTTAAATGCCTTGAAGCATCTGTTTAATGAAATACTGCAAACGGAAGGCCATGACTTGGGAAGGACATAGCCACAAATGTCTCCCAATTTCAGCTGAGATGAACAGCATAGTGCTGCAGCACGCATCTTTGGGTTTAATTAAAGGTGTTAACTTTTAAGGATACTGAAAGCCGTACTTTGTAGTGTCGACACCGGGAGCCTAATGCGTGTTCTAGATTGATGGCACAAATGCAACAAAGACAATATGGAAAAACTCACGACATTCAAAGTATTTTAAGCCACAGTAGCTTCAGAACATAATCAAACACCCTACCTTTTCCCACTTTATTTTTTACTTGTTATACTTTTTTCTTTTCTTCATTAAACTGGCCATGCTTTTTCCGCTCCAGGTGGGTCTTGACTACAGCAACCCTTACCTGAGCCCCTTCAGGGAGTTCCAGCGCTGGAAGCATCATCCCTTCATAGCTGCCACGCTGGAGGGAGGCACCAGGATCGCATATGGAGCCAGGGCGCTGAACGAGGGAGGGCTTCAGGTATGCGTCTCACTTACATACATTCATCGTCAACAAAGACACTTGCTTGTGCGTCTTAGAAGCGGTTAGTTTGAGTTCACTAATGTGTGTTGGTTTCTGTTGCGTCCTCAGTCTGATTCTATTCTGACTATTTGATTTGTGACAGTTTTAAGGTGAGGATAGATAACGTCCTCTGATCCTTCAGATACGCAATATCACTCTTATTGGGCAAAGATTTTAGATTAGATTACAAATATGGATAAATTAAAAATATTTCTTCACTAATTAGCCAATAAATATGGACTTATGGACGTTTCATACTTAATAAAAGTTTACCTGATACCACTTGAGGTGCCATCGTTTTACAAAGTGTCATTATTAGAACTATGGATGAGGGCTGCATTGTGAAATACTAAATGAAGGCAACTTATTGCAGTGAGATGTTGTAATACTATAGAACACGTCTGTTTTGGGGTAGTTTTAGAGCTTTACTAATAATAAAAAAAGTTTTCATGTATTTGTAAATAAGAATACAAGAGTAAGCACAGCCGCTGCTCATTCACAGTGAAAAGGTCCGTTGAGGATGGTTTCCTCTCGGTGGAGGATTTCTAGAGTCCAACTGGGAAGCGAGCCAGCAGCTGACCCCAAACAGCCTTGAGGGATCATACATCCCACCCGGCTTACGGGGAGGATGTCTGGGCTACCTTCATCAAACTCCTTCCACTGCGACCTCCACCGGGACACTCTGCAGAAAATGGATGACTGGATATAAATAAAGTCTCATGATTGCACATTCACTAATTGCTTTGTGGCTGATAGTATCCAGTAAAATGATGGATACGCTGATGACATATTTGCTCTCGCATTAAACATGAATGTGAAAAAAAATAAATGTGCATGAACTCTCTCCTCCTCCTCCTCTCCAGTCCATCCCAAAGCTGACGTTCCCCGGAGGGCTGCTGATAGGCTGCAGCCCTGGTTTCATGAACGTCCCAAAGATCAAAGGCACCCACACAGCCATGAAGAGCGGCATGCTGGCTGCTGAGGCCATTTTCCCCAAAGTCACAGCAGAGAGCCTGGATTCAGAGACGACAGGTACGGAGTTTAAGACCCATAGGCGGTCCTGATAGCAGCACCAGTAGCTGTTTGTGTGTCCTTCCAGGTACTCCCTTATGGCTCACAGCTTGTAAAGGTTAGCTATATGCAACACCTCATGGGGGGAAATGATATTAACTCTGAGGTTACAGAAGAGCAAACACTGCAATGAGGCCGGCTCATAACATAGCAACATTTTCCAGCTGTAAAAGGTCAGGCAATGCACTCTTTAATATGAGTTTTCAATGCAACCGTAGCAAACTGTCAAGAATCCAAACATAATGATCTATGATCCATCTCTGTAGCACTGTGCTGACTTATTCACTGAATCATTTTTCATGAAGGTTTTACTTCATGTTGTCGTTCCTCTGGAGCACAAAGACGAAATAGGAATGGACTTTTAAAATCCAAATGGTGCGTTGTGAAAATAGAAACCAACAAATGTTAAGTTCTTAAAGGGTTCGTTAGCCCAAATGACTTTTTTTCACTCCTAGTAGCATTATGCTGCGCAGATAGTTTGTAGTGATCTGTCTCCAAAAATTCTGCCACCGCTCAAAGTTTTTTTTTTTTTTTTGAGGTAGGGAATTTAAAGCTTCTCAAAAATGACAGCAGAAGCAGTGTTTCAGCACAAACTGTCCTAGTTGATGAGGAGAGTCCACTTACCCGTGAAATGCTATAAATGTACAGAAAAGTATACATGACGCCAGAAGGGAAATTACAAACCTTCAATTTATTATTATTTATTTTTTACATCCTCCCAGGCCTCCATGCGCCCGAGTATGCTGAGACTCTGAAGGATTCGTGGGTGTGGAAAGAGCTGCGCGCCGTGAGAAACATCCGGCCGTCCTTCCACAATTACTTTGGCCTGTACGGTGGCATGGCCTACACTGGAGTCTTCTACTGGATCTTCAGAGGGAAAGAGCCGTGGACGCTCAAACACTGTGGTGAGAACCATTGTGCAGCTTGCTGTTGACTCAAGTGTTATTATTATTATTAAGTATTATATTATTACGTTTTATTATTGAGCTAATCTCTCTATTGGTGCAGCCTAACAGAAGCAACAAAGGGAGATGGATTGTAGACAAAGCAGGGTAACTGCGACGAACTAACATTAGTTGTTGACCTAAAACACGAACCTTAAATGTAGTTTAAAAAATATCTTTATATATATTTTTTTTCAATGAAACAGTGTCATGCTCTGGGCTGCGTGCTTCATATCAGGACTACTTCCTGTTGCTCATGTCTCATTCTCTTCATTTTCGCTAAATGCACTTCCTACATTTATGCTCCCCCCCCCCCCCTGTGTTCAGTGTCAGAACTGCATGTGTGTGTATTCACTTTATGTTTTAGATAAACGAAAAACTACATTATCGCTCAAACACTTCAGCTAAAGTTGATAATGACAGCAACAGGACAGGGGAGGAAGAAACGAGGTTTTTGGCTTGATTAATAATCTAATAATGGGATGGCTAAAAAAGTCTAAAATGATGTAGGAAGATGGTTTATTTTTATCCTGAAATGTGATTTCCAATCTGTCATTGCAAAGAGAGCCTGGCTTTACTTCAGTGGGGTGAGCTTTGCTGATCGTATAAAGAACATTACATGTACGGTGGAGCAGTGGAGCATTCCATGCGGTTAGTTGTGCTGCTGCAGATCAGCAGCACAGCACAATGCTCGTGTGCTTTTTTTATTCTTTAGGTGAAGTATGAGGTCGCGTTATCTCAGCAGAGTAAATCAACATTTCGTAATTGTCTGTACTCGATCTGTGTCAGGCCTCGATGCAGACCAGCTGAAACCGGCTAAAGAGTGCACGCCCATTGAATACCCGAAGCCCGACGGCAAGCTGAGCTTTGACCTGCTGTCTTCTGTGGCTCTGAGCGGCACCAACCACGAGGGGGACCAGCCCGCCCACCTGACCCTGAAGAACGACAGCGTCCCGGTGGACAGGAACCTGGCCATATACGACGGACCCGAGCAGCGCTTCTGCCCCGCAGGTACCTACTGTAATATTACAATATGTCCAGCTGAACCCATATCCATATAGCTATATATATATATATATATAGCTATATATATATATAGCATATCGCATAAAAAACAAATGCAAACAACTCTGCAATAGGCAATACAGTGCTAAAAAATCTCAGATCATGAGATCTCTCACTCAATTTCTCCTTTTTTGCTGAACTTTTGATCAGAAGACAAACTGTGAATCAAAATGAATAGAAATATTTCACAGCCTTCGTTTCCTCCCAGGTGTGTACGAGTACGTTCCGCTGGAGACTGGAGATGGGATGAGGTTGCAGATCAACGCTCAGAACTGTGTCCACTGTAAGACCTGCGACATCAAGGACCCGAGCCAGAACATCAACTGGGTCGTGCCCGAAGGCGGCGGCGGGCCGGCCTACAATGGAATGTGAACGTCTGGTTTTTTTAATCTCTAGAAAGAGAACTGTGACGTGTCGACCACTCAGGGTTGCAGTACAGAAAATAACTATATAGAAGTTTTGAGAGTATGGCAAATCAAATCTCCAAAAAGCAAAGTTAGGAATTGATTCATAGAAATGTGTTCTTACGTTATACAGTGGCATAGTTTAAAATGAGGCACAGCAGTGAAACCCTTGTTAAATACAGGACCATATGAAACTGAAGCTAGAAGTCACAAGTTCCATTGTTTGCATTACTCATTAAAATCCACATTAAGGGCATTTAAAGTAGTTTAAAAATAAAGTGGCTTCCATTTGTTGTGAGGAAGTACTTAATCAACTGTAATAGTTAATATATTTCCTTCAAAATGTTTCTGTAAAATAACAGTTCTCAAACACAGGTTTATATCAGCATTTATTCCAGATGTTTGGACAGCATTTCATCCACACATTGTACATAAAATAATTAATGAATAAAGAACTCTTGAAGGTTATCCTTTTGGTTTTATTGACTTCTGTAAAAAAAAAAAAAACAGATGTACTGTATGCGGTATCAAAATCCCTACAATGAAACGATACAACGTTTTGCTTTGCTCAACTACTTCAAAGCCCCAGAGTGAGGAGCAGTGGAGTTAGCCATGCATCAGACTAACTCAAAATATTCATTACAGTGAAGGCGCTTGTCAGAATAAAGACAGGTCAAAGCTTACGACAGTTATTCCCTTAAAACAACACAAACAGTGAGAGGTGTGCCCGCTTGAACACATGAGGACCTGCTGTACGTTTTCACCTGCCGACAGCGGCACACGTAGAGATGACTTCAGACATTAACGGTACTAACAAGGAATCATTGCATCGCCGCGCCAGACGTTCATGCAAACATTTTGGCATAGATTTTCTTTTCTTTCTCCTTCTCCTCCTGGATCTTCAGCTGAACCCTCTTCATCTCGTTGCTGATCGCTGTCGATAGAAAAACACTTTGAATTAGCTCAACAAGTGGATCGATGGATCGTGTCTGCGTTTCACTTGCAGACTTCAAACACCGCTTTGTAACACACGTCTGCTTCACTTAGCAGACATCCACCTCCTGAAGGCAGAGCGTGACGCGCAGTGATCGCTCTTATCTCCGAGCGAGCAGCCAATGAACTGCTGCTTAAAATAACTCAAATATAGGAGGACTGCAACACTATCAACATGCAGAGCTCCAGAGTTGCAGCGTGATTAAATACAAGAGTTACTAGTTTCTGATAAAGTGTCCATTCTTTAACAAATTGGGACAGAAACTGTAATCTTTTAGGTCGGTTCCATCAGATTCACTCCGCTGGTAGCTGAGGTTGGCTGTACAGCAGTGTTGAATGTCAGTTTATGAAGTTAATGTGCTTTGTTCTATATCCTTAGATTTAATTCTTCATCAGTCTGTAGATGATTTTTTTTTTTGGTATCATGCTGCTCATAGAGAACACAATTACTCATTTCCCCCAATAAAGTTCAATTAGGAGAAACAACAAACTGAGACAACAGGACGTCTTCCTGCAGCCGTGGACTGTTTCTCTTCATGAGCTTGCATAATAAGTTTGAATAATACATGTGAATATGCATGCGATGTTAAACAGAAGGGGAAATATTTGCAGCATTCTACGGCTGAACAAAGAATATGTTCAGGACAAATTCCCCACCTTTGTCTTCTGGAGCTATTCCCTGAGCTTTCTTCAGATCGACCTGAAAAGTGCAGAAAAGCATTCGGTGAGTGAAGCAGATCTACCAGGTCATAAATACATAAGCACTGTTATTACAGCACATTATCTGTCGGTGCTAACAATACTGTTTAAAACCAGATATACAGACAATGATGTACATTTTGAATGGCTGTGTTGTGCAGTATATAGAGGTGCGCGTGTGGATGTTACCAATGCTTTGCCGTTCTCCTTTAACCCCTGCCAGGCCTGGCCCCTCCGGAACAGGGCCTTAGTGTTGGCTTGGTTCAGCCCTAGAGCCTGTAGACACGACAGAGAAACGTCACAAATCACATTATGTCCTCCTTCATAGTCTTATTACAGTTGGAGATATTCATTTGTGACTTTATTTTTAAGCAATCCTCATATTTAACATATATACGAGGTAGGAACCGACAATTTATTTGCATATATATCATATTTCTGTGAAATTGACTTGTAAGTACGAGGCATAATGTATACTACCAATAACGAATAATTCACCATTTTGTGAAATTCTCTTATTTGCTTTAATAAATAGTCCGACCCCCCCCCCCACTGACAGACGTACCTCGTTGCAGCTGTCCAGAGCGTCCTGCCACAGCTCCATCTTCAGGTGACATGCTGCCGTGTTGAGGAAGCAGCTGAGCGCCGCGGGCTCTAGCTTCTGCTGCGCCTCCTCCTCCAGCAGCTCTCCACTCACCTCCAAGTACCTGCACGGGTAAAACATTCACGCTCATTGTTGGTGACAGACCAGGAGCAGTTTGTTGCCTGTTAGGTTCAAAGCTTTCTTGGTTTTGGGCTTTTTATGAGATTTCCAACCAGAATTAAGATACACGTGTTATTTACGCATGCCCCATGTTAAATCCTTTTTTCCAGGTTATTTTTAAACTGTTAATCTCAATTAAACTGCCCTGAGAATAAACTACATGCCTGAGGATGAGGCTCATACACCACAGCAGTTCATTTCAGTATTTATTTATAGAATATTTCTAAAATGTATGTAGATTATCTGAGGATTTGATTTCCTCTGCAAGGGTTGCTGAACACGTGCCTTTCAAATTGTCACTGAAAGTAACACACACACACACACACACACACACACACACACACACACACACACACACACACACACACACACACACACACACACACACACACACACACCTGAGGGCTTTGCTATATTTGCTGACTGCAGCTTTCCAGTCTTGATTCTTAAACAGACTGTTTCCAGCATTCTTCACGTCCTCAGCGACAGACAGAACTTTGTCAACCTGAAAGCAGAAAGGCAACAAACAGGATCAGACCGGCTGTAAACAAAGCGATTAGTCCGACGATCTAAACCACTTTACTTTGAGGGACAATCGAAACTGAGCACACTCAAAATGCCTAAAATCTATCGTCCCTCATTTTGGTGACAAGCCCTTGAATTTATTTCGTAGCAGTGTTGCCATGTTTCCAGTGTTTGTTATGCTCAACACGTCGTGGATCTCGATATTGATCTTCTCTGTTTTGGATGAGACAAGAAAGCCAGAGTTGTGCAGCTTAGAGCTATCTGATGCTATCTAACAAAGTTCCCCCGCGTCCTTGAGGATCAAAGACTTCACCGATACTCACGTCTTTAAAGTCGACATCGGAGTCCTCGGGGAAGTCTGGGTGGGTGTCTCCGGTCCCATCGCTCGGTCCAGTGCTCCAGCTGTCCTCGTCCTTGTGCTCACCACAGTCTGATATGAGGCATGGCTGCAAAGGTAGACATTCAAATCAAATAAAGACGACAACAGAGCATCTGGAAGTAACACCATGGTGGTAAAACACGTGATATTATGGGTAAATGTATTATTTATTTACCTTTACAGGGACGTCCTCGTTGGTGTCGATGGCCTCCAGCATCTTCATGATTCCCAACCCTTTCAACACTTGTCCAAAGACGACATGCTTGCCGTCTAAGTGTGGAGTGGGGACGGTGGTGATGAAGAACTGGGAGCCGTTGGTGTTCGGCCCGGCGTTGGCCATGCTTAGCAGACCCACTTTGTCATGCTACATAGAGAAGGAACATCATTATAACAACAGACACAATGTGGCACTGCTAACACACAGAACACAGGAAACAGAGATCTGCGGTTATTTCTGTTATTCAGAAACAAGAGTCCAGAAGGCCTTAGTCTCCTTGTTATAGCTAGAAATAACGACAGTGATGGAGAACCTTGGCACTAGTGTAGACCTTCTGTCGTTGGACCGAGATAATATGGGTTCTGATGTTCAGTAGTTTACCTTGTAGTGGAAGTTCTCATCCTCAAACTTCTCCCCATAGATGCTCTCCCCCCCGGTGCCATTATGGTTGGAGAAGTCACCTCCTTGGATCATAAACTTCTTGATGACTGCAAAAGAAAAAATGTACAAATTACATTACAGGTAAACCAGACTGAAGCTTCCTCATTTAAAAAGGAAATAGATGGAGCCTGTTCAAATAGTTACTGAATATTTTACATACTATACTGTCTAATGATTGAATAAAAGCATTAATAAATAACATAATATTACATTATTCAGCATCTACCCGTCGGTTAAAACATCCATTTTGTGTCATTTGTTTTCCCCAACTCAACCTTTATCAAATGTGGCCATGTATGCAGTTTTACTTGTTATGGATTTTGGTTAATTGACACCTGAAATAGATTATTTGGGTGAGTTCAGCAAGTAAGTAACTAGATATTCTCCAAACGGCTCACTGCATTGGATGTCCTTTTAGCCACTTCTTGTGTACTAAAACTTCCAAGTCTGTCATTTCAAACTAAAATGTCCCTTTATAATGCAGACGGTGGAGAAGCATTTTTACTTCTGTGGAACGGGCATCCTTTGAAGTGCAGCGGTTTCCCAGTGGATTTGCCGGTGCCTTTCTCTCCGGTGCAGAGCGCCCGGAAGTTTTCAGCAGTTTTGGGGGCGATGTCAGCAAACAGCTCCAGAACTATCCGGCCAGCTGTGGACAGAAGAAGAAAAAAGGTCAAGTCAGTGTAACTTTACTGACCTACAGTAGAGTCAGGAGCAAGTTAGTGGTTTATATACAACAAATCATTATAGTTACATTACCGGTATATTTACTAGAAAAACAAGACAACGTATTGCAGGATATTAAGATATTTAAAATCGGCCTCGTCAGGCTACAGTAAAATATGTCTTTGTTGTGTTTCCAAGTTATTAGCTGCAGACAGTTAAATCATCAATAAGCCACTTGTTAGCTAATGTTCAGCTTCTGCCTACTCATGATTAATTATCACTAACTACAATGGTTATAAACGCTGTGTTACACTGGTATAACAGCAAAGCTAAGCGTGGGGATAGCTAACGTTAACTAAACTAACAAGTCATTGTAGACAACACAACCACACGTGGTTAATGCACTCTCACGCGCTCTGTAACCGTTTATCGAAGTAAAGCTAGCAGTTAGCTCACGTTCTACACCAGCGAGATACTCACATCGATATGTTACAGACTGGCTTTATTTGTAAGGTGCAACGTTAACTCCTCTAGCAGCTAACTAGCATGAATTAATCACTTTGTACAAAGTCACCATTACGAGCCAGAATTGTGCTAAGCTAAACAGGGGCTAACGTTAACGGTTAAACTGATGCTAACTGACATTTAAAATCAAAATGTCCTGACCTTTTTCACCGCCAATGTCTACATCGAAGAAGACACGAGGGTTTTCGGGGTTTGAAGGCTTGTCAGACGGTATTGGGTTAGACATTTTAAGGACAGGGCGGATTTCAGACACTTGTTTCGGCTAACCTAACGTTAGCTAATCCCAGCCGGTGTAACGTCGCTACAGGAGCAGGTTAAATTGAGGATGGACTCAATCACTTCCGGTAGGAAGATTTCAAAATAAAACTGGTATGTTGGTTGAGAATGCATTGAGTGTTATGAAGAGACGAAATAAATCAATGAATAATCGTTTGTTTGGCTTGCAAACCTAGAACGACGAAAACAAACATAATTCATAATTTATCCCAAAATGTCCCTTGCACAGCATTATGCCCTTATGCGTAATCTCGTGTGCGACTGTGCTCTTCCACAGAACTTCCGGTCATGCTCAATAGAATTCACATTTAGAAATATTTTGTGTGAAATCGATGAATTACTCCATTACAGTTAGGTCGTGTAATAGCGGGTTACATAATCAAGCATAAAAAACGTGTTTTGCTAATCCAGCTAATACTTGACAAATGAGTCAAAAGATATGAAAATCAAATTTTCAATATGAGTTTACATCCAGGTGCAGGTGGTAAGTAAACTCGATGAAGTTCTTTCTCTAAAGCTATTCTAAAGATTTGTCATGCCGCAAACTCTACAGATCTGATGGGTAGCAGGCTAGAAAAGCACAAAATAAAATGTCTTTCTTTAGTCTATGCTCTTCTAATACTTGTAAACTTTAAATGATTACCTCTTCCTCATGCCTTGATGATTAAAACAGGAGAAAAAACTCTTGTGTTGATCTAGTCCTGCATAGACATGTTCAACAGGCGATGATGGGCCCAAATGGACGTTGCTTTGTTTTAGGGGCCTAGACCAATGGCGAAAACTGATTTAACCTCCCTGAACTAACGGCGAGATGTTCTTGACTCAGACTCAGTCACTCAGGGCCGTCTTAAAAAAACGCAAATAATGTTCTGTCTCGACGAAATTGAATCACAACATGCCCTCAGGCGGGTGTCAGATTGAGACCAGCCTATTTTAGAGACGGTATTGCCATCTGACCTCGAGATATGGATGTCTGTGTTGCCCTTTACATGGTAATTGGTGGTGTCTCTTGTGGTAAAGATGTTGTACTGTTATCTACACCAGACATATATGGATATGGTTGCTTTAGCTGCGGGGATGGATTACCAGGCGCTTCTCGTACAGGAATTAAAAGTCTTTATCCATGATGCTGTGAGTGGGGAGAGGGACCTCTGACACACAAAACCAACTTGGTTATCCTGTTATTTTTGAAGAGATACGTATGTTACACTGTTTCTAGCAGATTGTGAAAACTTTGACAAAGACACAATACAACCCCTTGTTCGCCCAGTTTACATTTTCAGATGTGCTCATATGTTCCTTGTGAATTTCAATAAGTCTAACAGAACTGAACATGAACTTTCACAGGTATAGGATCGTGCAAGAAAACAATCGAAGCGTAAACTTGATATTAAAAAAAGCAACGAACATGTGAATTTTTCCTGAATCATTCAGGCTGAAAGGTGTGAGAAATGACGTGTTGAAAAGTCATCACGTTACAGAGATTAAAAGATGTTTAATCAAACTCGACAGATCTCGTTAACAGTCGGGTCATCCAGCCGCCGTGGGTAGCAGAATGCCATCTGCTGTTAGCTCTGACTGCGTCGGTGAAACTTGGTGTTGTCTCGGAGCGAGTCATCCGTCATGTTCTTTCTGGGAGGAAACAAATAGAGGCGGTGAAAGAAATGAATGAGGCCGGATTCGGACATCAATTACCTACATGTGTAACTACAGGGTGTGTTATTTTTCATTTCTTTGATGTTCTCTCAGATATTAAATAGTCACCTTTCAACGTGTCATTTAGTTGATGTCGTAATAATGTCTCACACATATCCAAATGTTATTAGTCTGAAGTTATTATTAGAATAACTGGGAGCTAATGGATTTTCATTTGTTCTCAAAGTGCTATTATTTGAAAGAAACTCATTCTTTTTTAGTTTTAAAGGATGTAATTAAAATCAGGAAAAAAATGTAAGTTATTACAGTTTTACAAATATGTGCAGTTTTTATAAAAAGGACAATAATTTACTAATTTAAGGGGCTCGAATTGAACCATTTTTGACAGTGACCTCTTCATTTTTTTGTCTCTTTGTGGTGGTTTTCTGTATCTCTTTGTGGTCATTTTGTGGCTCGTTGTGGTTGTTTTGCATTTCTTTGTCGTGGTTTGATTGTCTTTCCAACAACAAAAGCTAGCAGTCGATACATACAGCGGCTCTGGTCCAGAGGCCTGTACGTCCGGTAGGCCCGTTCAGTGATCCATCCTCAGGAGCCAACTACCTCTCACCTTATTCTGACTATGGGGGGGCACCAAGGGGGCCCATTCAGATTTCAGGTTGAGCCCATGCCGCATCCTCAGACCTTCCCTTGGATAAGATATCATTCAAATGAGCAAAACACAGATGTGTATTGCTGCTTATTCCCAGAATGTCAGCCTTAAAAACAAACATTATCGGACCTCTTTACTGCTTTGACTGATGTTTGCCTGGAGTTGCTTGTTGTCAGCAGTTTAACAGCAGTGTATGCCTCTGCATACTTTCAGGGTCTAGTGCTAGAGTAAAACAGCCTGGGCCCCATATGCTGTTGTAATGCATGGGGCTCTTTTTGCAGCAGGGACGCTACATAGAAGAGATAAGTCGTTGTCTAAACTGGGACTGGTGGCCTTGAGTCCATTCTTCTCCGTGATCACGAGGGTGATCTGTTGTGTGTAGCTTCCGGTGTCGGCATATCATGTGGGACGTCATCAAGTTCTCCTTAAAAGTGGATTTTCGTTTAGTGTTCTTCCTCTATCCATCAGACCAGATCTGAGCCTTACTTGCTAACATGTTAAGTTTGCAGTAACTCCTCTTATTACTTGTGTGATTTAAAAAAAGATTTGGGTATGTTTAAACATTATCCTGGTCTTATATACAGAACAAACATGGAAGTCTGGTGTGTGCCCCTTAAAAAATGTCTGTTCTCTTGAACAATGTTGGTTCGCCTGTTGTTATATGCTATTGTATTGTGTTATATGCTATTGTATTGGGATAGAAGTGTCTGGGAAGCAGGTCAGCCATAATCACAAATCCACACTCACATGTTACATTTTCTTTGTCAGAATGTCCTCCTTTCATTGCACATATACAGGTCCTTGTTTGATCATGAAACATGGGTCAAATGCAGCCAGAAGTGTCCTCCTAACTAGCCTCTGCATGCTTGTCTGTCTGCTCTCTGTTTGGCAAAAGCCTGTCACAATATTTTAGTCTCTCTCCAGTTTTAGTTTTGTGTCGATGGTTCTGTTGTTTCCCTGCTGGCATCACTGTCTTGTCAGCTAAGACTTCTTTCTTGCATGCTTGTCTGTGTACTTTCTATACTGCATTTAGATGTTGTTGCTTTTGTCACACAGGTTAAAGAACAGCTGGCTGTTTGTTGACACTGACAGCTGAGACTGTGACATACTTACATACATGTAATACTCATGAGCGACCAGAAAACAAAATTACCAACATACGCACAGGTCACAAGTTAAAGGAAAAACTAACATAAAATAAGTAAGTTGTTGGGCCATCGCAAGACCACCAGAACAACTTAGTCAAGTCTCAGGGACTCAACTGGACAGAAGCAACAACGGTTGTAGCTAAAGCCCCATCGAGGACATAAGCACGTCCCCATTAATATATCGGGGCAATTGGCGGCTTAATGACATAAAGAGGAGTTTACCTTCTACATTTGCAGGCAACGTCCACATTTTATTTCCAAATGAATACCTTCAAATTTGACTGTCTTTGGCAAAAAAGGCAAAACAATTTCAACCAAAGTGTTTTCATTTGGTGGCTAATCAAAAACTTCTTAGTGTTCTGTTTGGGAAATTTGGACTCATGACCTCAGTTACAGCCCAGTGATGTAAAACCATTCTCCCAAAAATAGTCTCTGTTTTGGTGTTTTGGATGATAGCGGTGGAGTGCACAGTCTTAAATGTTGCTCCAAAGTCTCCCATTAGTGTTCTGAAGGGTTCCGGTGACTATGAAGGCTAAAGCGGGTCATTTACATAATCCACCCAAACAGTTCAGTGCCCACCATGGAGGCATCTGCATTCATTTTGTTTCCCCACTCATTTATATAGGTTTTTGCTTTAAGTTTTCAACCATCTGTAGTTGCTTTTCCTAAATGCTAACCACTAGTTACAACATTTGTAACGTTTGTCCAGAGGATGGTGCCAGAGGGGAGTCTTCGTAGTTACTGACAGTTAAAGGGTTTATCCTTTGTGCAGTCGCCTTTTAGAACGTCTCAAACTCAGCTCGTCAGGATCAGCTAAGCTGAACAGATTCACCTCCTCTCATTAAATTTTTACTGCATTAGGATTCTTAAAGTGCTGTTTAATTAAGTATAAAGTCTCATAGTAGGGGAATTTGGAATCTCATATGTACTGTTACATCTTGTTTAGGGAGTACATCTAATGTAGTTGAATGTAAATTGCGGTATTTAGGAATAATGTTAATAAGGTAGAAGATAAACCTTTTTGTTTTGGTCAGTATCTGTGTGAGTGGTGTGTCTGTCTGGCACATTTCTTACCTGCGGCTTGAGGCGGTGTCTGTTTCTACAACAGGGGAAGTGCTGCATTATGGATGGGGAAGCAGATACCTACAATGCAGTCACTCAACACTGTGCAAACCTGAGACGTTCCCACTTATCCATTCGACACACACACGTAATACGACTGTGAAGGATTCAACGTGTCCAACGTGAGGGTTACAAATGTGGTCTTACTGGTCGCTCTGGAACCTGTGAGTCACTCTGTCCTCCAGCGCTGTCCGGACCTCAGTTTTCTCTCAGAGAAGGAGGACTGTTTGATTTAACACTGAAATGCTTTTTACTTTATTTATTTACATTTCTGGTTCAGAATGTGTGACATTTTTCTCCTCGACAGCATGTGAAATCCATATTTATGATGTCTTGACTCCAGACTGATTATCTAACGAAACTAACACCCAAAAAGTGACTTACTATGTTTGATAAACAAAATATTAAATAAGTACATCTGATCCAGATTGGATAATTTGTCCATTTATTAACGATGTGCCACTGTTTGTCCTGTAATTCCTGTATATTTCACATCATAGCAGTCATTTCTCAAAGTCAACGCTCATGGTGACCTTGTGGCACATTAACTGAGGAATAAAGCTTCTACATCTCATTTGCATAAGACGCACACGGTGGATTTCAGCCGTACCTTAATTTGCATGTTGCTGAGCAGCGTCCCACTGTTCAACAGCTGGTTGTACTGCCAGCCCCAGCCAACCTCCCCCACGTAGCTCTGCTTGGGCAGAGGAGGAGGGGCGTGTGGTGCAGCTTGGCACAAGTAGCTGAGGTCACCTGTGGCCCCAGGTGATGAGGCGCCCGCGCCGATGTACCGGGGGAAATAATTTGATCTCGGCCTGTAGTCTCCAATTCCATCTGGGCCTTGTTAGAATTAGTGGAAATGTGAGAAAAGAAGGTAAACAAATATCCTAATGAACCTGAGACACAGACGGAGAGAGAAGTTAATAAAAAGAAGGAAAGAAAAAGGAAACTAATGGGTTTGTTAAAGAGTGCATTCATTCAGCGTTCAGCGTAGGGTGATTTGTTACAAATGAATGTCTTATCTAGGAGGTATTAAAGGATCAATGTTTTTCAGAACATGCATTTGCTCCGATGTTCCTTTTTACATTTCATTAACAATTACGTAAAGGAATATATTATTATCCTTGTAAATAAAAGATTCAGCTATATGCTTGCACATCACGCTCTAAGTTGTATAATGCATGAACTGTTGCAGTGTCAGTACACTTCTACATGCCCTAATGCATACAGAACAACATACTTTACACAGGCTCACACAGGTACACACACAGTAGCTTAACTATCTGGTTGTAGTGCCACCGTGTGTCCAATTACAGTTATATTTGCTTGGACACAGACTATAATGCTGAGACGTCATATAAATGTTGAACATGGGTCTTAAGCATGCCTATTGTAGAGAACAAACTGTACTCCTAAAATTGCACTCAGTTGAATGACTCATTAGAGGGCCATGCTCTCCGTGCTTCTCCTACCTGTAAAGATCATCCGTTGTCCATGCTGTGTCCCTCCTGCAGCTGCTTCACTGTTACGCATCATTTTTGTATATAATGGGCCCTCTTGGGTGATAACTTGAGCCCAGCGGTCTGCTCTGTCCATGGGGTCATGGTCGGTTGTCATGCAACCTCTGCTTGTCATGACGTCAGTGGTTGTGTCCTAGTTACATTCTTAAAACACGGGATGCTCTATTGAAGCATGTCAGCTACATATGACTTTATTCCAGGTAAAGAAACAGATTCACATGAAGGCAGAAATACCAAAACAATGATGGTAAAATAATCTATTTTTTATTTGCATGGTAAACAATCCTATCGTATCAAGTGCGTGATAAATAGAGTAAAACCTTCAACAGCATAACATTTATATTGTTTTATTGTTTTGTATATTGTACTTATTATTCATAGCTGTATCAGTAAAATGTTTCTTTTAATTCAAAGTTATTTCTTTATTATTATTATTATTGTTGTTGTCATTATCTTTATCATCATCATTTTTGTTTTACATCGTAGATTAAGACATCAAGAAATCACTATAACACATATGGAAATACGTAAAGAGGGGAAAAAGTTTAAATAAAGAAAAATATGTTTTATATTTTAGATTCTTCAAACTAGCCACCTTTAGTCTTGATGAAAGTTTTGCACACTCTTGGCTGAGCACTTGTTGGCTGCTTGTTCCTTCACTCTGCGGTCCAACTAATCCCAAACCATCTTCTTTTGGTGTGGGAGTCCAGGTTATCCATCGCTCTCCTTCTTGGTCAAATAGCTCACATAGCCTGGAGGTGTGTTTCCCTTTCTGGGGCGGTCCTCTTGAGAGACGCATCATAAGGCTTGATGGTTTTTGCGACAAACAGTGGTCCCATTGAAGAATCTAAAATATAAAACATATTCTGGTGTGTTTAACACTTGTTTGTTCACTGACTAATTCCACATGTGGTATTTCATGGTGTTGATGTCTTCAGTATTAATCTACAACATAGAAAATAATAAAACAAAAAAAAGAGAGGAGAAAGAGAAGGTGTGTCCAAACGTTTGACCTGTACAGTTCATGCATAAATATTTGCATTATTAATTTATATAGCCTAAGATTATTATTTATATATTTATTGCAAGAGTTCATCTGTTTTGTTATATCTTAGCCTCTTTCTGAGCTCCTATAATGTGTGGATTTACCCTCTGGGATCAATAAAGTCTTATTTTAAGTTATTTTATGTTACATTTTAACACTTTTGTGTAATAAAGATTATTGTCGCCCAAAATAACTGGCTTTTCCAAAAAAAAAAGGGGGTTTCCATATTTGTGCATCCATAGGGAACTGAATTGAAAAATAAACTTCCCTAATGTGAAGTTTGCTTGGTGGAGTCATTATTGCTTTAAAGTCTACTCTCACACCACAATGTGCCATATAATAATGAATTAATATCAACTTAACTCTACAATTTGTTGTGTTATTCTTCATATTATTCCATCTTATCCTGATAAATAAGGTTTACGGTGAACTAGTTTTTTTCACATCCTGCATGTTTGTGTCCATCTAAATGTGTATTACCCCATCAGGTCACTAGGTGGGCCCAAAGCATCATTATTTCACATTGGACTCTCCTTCCTATTCACACTTTTTTCTTTTTTTTTTGGGCTAAATGGACTCGCCCATGAGCCACCCCTTGTGACTAAATCTCCATCAAGCCGAACCCAGATAACAACAGTTAGAAAGGAAATGGAATGATTTTCCCTTCAAAACAAGATAGCAATATGTACAATACTGACCATGCATACTGTAAGCAACAAATAACATGTAAGCACTAGAGTCACTGAATCAGATATATTCAGTTGATTAAATATTGGAATAAACAGATATCAAATTATTTTGTTACGTCGTGGCGCATGGTAGACTATGGTGCAGTTCATTGCTTGTCATGTAGTCTACTGCATTTAATTAGACCTTTCATATTTTGCACAGCTACACAATTTGAAAATAGCCAACATTTAGTGCATTTAAAATACACAATGTAGCCTATGTCATGTTTGCATATAGGTCTTTTATTGATAGCCTACGTAGAAGGAAAATTAAATTTTTTTGTGGAAAAAATACAACAACGTGTATATTTAATTTCCAAAGACCCTCCCTAAATATACCGTGTCCTCCTTCATCTCTTTGTATTAATGTTCAACACGCTGGAGGTTTATTTTGAAAACCTTTCAAGGAAGTGTAACCGTTAACCATGGCCGACTTTACTCCGCTGTGTCAGTCACCATGGTGGCATACAACAGAGCGCAGCGGCGGCGGACCTATCCCCACTTTTAGTGCCATTAAGATGTTGATATAATGCATGTTATCAGTGAGTGTATTCGGGTCTACCTCTCACGATGGACGCCAGGTTGCTGTTGACGGGATAACAGTTAGCGTACTTTGTTTTGTTTGTTTGCTGGATCCTGTAATGTAATTTATTTTGCGTCGCTAGCAGAACGCTGAAGAGACAAGGAATGGCTTTGAAGAGCGTTGGCTTGAATAAAGGGACCTTTTTTATTTTGCATTAAGAAAATAACTCTAAAGAGAAGAGAGTGAGCCGTGCTTTTAAAATAACTTTTCCTCTCGGTGGGACTGGTGTTGGGCGACAGACACACGGCCGCCCCGAGGAGGCTGCTCGGCTGTCTGGCTCCGGTCGTGGCCTCTCCGTGGCACTCCCAGCTTATCCGCTAGCATCGGACCACAGGCGACAAGAACACAGCGAGGCAGCAAAGGGAGAGGAGAGGAGAGGAGAGGGGGGGGGAGACTTCTTTTGTTTGTATCCGTGGCGCTGGATATTTATAAACATTTTATTTAGGACAAGGAATTCAAGTATCCTGCAGACGGCGTCTTCCCAAAACAATGGCGTCTTACGTGGATAACAGCTTTCGGCAGGCTGTGATGATGAGTCCGGCTGAAAGGACGCAACAGGTCAGAAGAATTTATATTTGTTGAATGTGTGTTTGCAGAGCGCTGATACCCGCTGGTATTAGCCGTCCACTCGCTACATTACAACACGACATTGCAACATGCTCTACATTGTAACGTCCTGTAACAGAGTAGCAGTGCGTCTGTGCGCAACTGTTGCCATTGAGCTCCGGTGTTAACGTGTGGCTACGGCTACATCCCGCTAAGCCCTCTATCAGCAGAGATAATCAAGGCTACTTAACATAACAGGAGCTGTAAGTTAGCCTTGGTGGGAGTCTAACACTGAGCTACAGCAGCAGTGTGTGTGTGTGTGTGTGTGTGCGTCCTGCTTTTACACGTGATGCGTACTTGCATTTTGGGAAAAAAACCTAAAAGAAAACGTATGTAAATGGTAGAAAGATATGCACGTGAGAGGCACAGTCTGTGGCTAATAGCCTATAGCTGTTGTAGGCAAAGCAGACGTTTCCCATCAACATTTGGTTCAGTTTGTATTATGTTTGGTAGACTGAGACACGATGTAAGTGTTAGTTGGGCTTATCATTGTTATAGTTGTTTTGTCTCTGTTGGGATTTTATTTCTAATAATGTTTTGTGGTAAAAAATATATAATGCTTAGTTATGGCTTGTTTTTATAGCTCAGTGCTGTGAGTGCACAATATCACCTCAGTGTTTTCTGAACCAATATAGTTCTGCTGGGGTTGAGTGTCTTGTGAACATGCAAATCCTGTGGTCTGTGGTTATTACCGTTAACGTATGTGTGTATATATATATATATGAGCGGTAAGAATTTGCAGATGCACGCAATAACTCCTGGTTTGGCTGCGGAGATGGCATCATTTCATTTGGACCATGGCTTCCACTGCAAATGGATGCGGCTTCAGCTTCACACAATGGACAATCGATAGGCCACCACTTACACCAGTGGGCTACAGATAGTGGCACGCCCGTCTATCTGACATCGGGGAAACGATTATGGTGTCATCGACTGCTTGTTAACTGTACGAGCCCACGGCCTTTACATGCTTCACGCGGGCTCCTAATGCAGTGATGTGTCTGAGTGACAGATGCCGTGATGGTTATGGGAACAAAGACGAGGATCATTTGGGTTTGGCATCAGTAGCAGCAATGCTCATCTAAAACGGGACTAAGCATTAGGAGTTTATATTAAGGCTGAAACTTTCATCATTGAGAATTGCTTAATTGTTTTGTCCATGAAACAAAAACAAAAAAAGATCCCTGGCAAAATACCTCTGAGCCCAGTGGTGTCTTCAAACTGCCTAAATCTTAAATCTATTAGCAATCATATTTCTTTTTTCGTGTAGCAAATTGTCATATTTGCGTGTGAAAAAAATGTCTTAACCGATAAATCTTCTATCAAAACATTTGCAAATCAGTTCTCCGTCAATTGACTAAGTCACCAATCCACAATTGCTTGTATTTCTTGTCATGTTTTTGTTTTTATTGCCCATATAACTGGTGAATCTGTCAGTGGGAAGTAATCGCTGGTTGATATGCAAGTGAGAATGTGATTCAAAGCTGGCCGTCTATAACACCTGTGCTGCCTCATTCTTCTAACCCACCTGACAGAATTAACATCAACATGGCTCCCAGTGCTGCTTCTGACACGGACATGTGAGGAGAGATTACTTGGACTGTGTGAGCTGGAATATAGTCTGATTAAAAGATGCGAAGGCTTTGGCAATGTGTGATTCAGTAAAAAGAAATCTGTGGTCCTTCAACACTCTGCTATGAACCCATGCTGTGTCCGTATGCAAACATTTCATTCAGGAAGTCTTTTGATGAAACATGACCGGAGAGGCCAACGAGGACAGTTTGAACAAAGACTAAATGACGACGCTTAAAAACGATTCAGTCAGAAGCAAAAGTGTGATATGCCAACAGGATTTAGAAGTCTTAAGAAACACGCATCCGTGTCATTCTGCAGTGGCGTCACAGAGAAGTCCACTTCTTTCTCTTCGCTGTGGTTGTTAATCAGAAAAGCCAAAGACGTAATAACTACAAAGTCTCTTGTGATATTAATAATTCACAGTATTGAGTCGTTCTATAGCGGCACCTTCCCCGGCGGTTCTTTTCAAGTGTCTGGTGTCGGTTGTCGGCTGACACGGTTTATCCTAATGGCGCTGGCAGGGCCTCTCTGTCAGGATTAGCTAACGGTTAGCGGGATCTGTCTTTATCGCTCAGGGCTGACCACGGTGGGATTTGACCCCTCTGCCTCGCCCCGTTTGTCACATGGCAGGTGAAATAACCGGCCGCTTGACAGCGAGTGTTCAGTGTTTTGTCAGTTTCCTTTGCGTGCCTTTGGACTGTAAGTGGAAGTGTCGGCGAGCAAAAGGAGGCAGTCTGATAATCGAGAAGGAAGAGGAAGGAGAGCACTGCTGCACAGTTTTGCAGTGCTGATATGAATTACGATAACATGACATGACTAATTGATCTCTAATTTCTATCCAGAATTAATTTATTGACCGGGAGGATTATTACATTACTTTGAATAAAACTGTATTTTTTTTAAGACATGCAGTTTGGCTCTCAATAGCAACATGTCGTGAGTTAGACGGACATTCTGGATGTTTTGTAAGGTTTAACCTGAGACCCTCCAGTTATGTGATGCCTTCTCCAACTATTACTCAATCAAGCCACACATTTTAGCGATAATCTTAATTGTGCTGTACAGATGATGTAGACTGTATCTAGCAAGGGTTATTTTTTTTCAATCTTAAAAGAGCTTCTCCACCACAGTGTCTTCCCTTAGGCCTGTGTTTTTAATCCCTGCACAGATGACTGAAGGAGACCAAACCAGGGCACAGTGACAGCGAGCTAGCCTCAACTAGTATGGGTCCATATTTAGATTCTGAGCTAAAAACTAATATTACAATTATCAAAGATATGGCAGTTGGTTTAGCAGGACACCACAGACTCCACCAGAAACATACAATGTCATGTACTCCTCTAGTAAAAATATACCAAACAGAACCGTTGCACATTTCACATCATTTTAAATGAAACGGGTTCAGTTTTGACTGTTAGTCAGACAAAACAAGCTGTTTTTAACGTATCTCTTTGGCCTCTGATAACTTGCGATGGGCGTTGCTCATTGCTTTCCAAGAATGCATGTTAATTATCAAAAGCAAAGGGCAGCCGTAGTGTGTGAGAGTGACATGTTTGTTTGTTAGGTCACTAGGTGGGAGTTGGATAAACTTTTGCGGTCCAAACGGAGCGCTGAACCCTGTTAAGTTCCTTCTAATATCATTCCTGTGGACCATGAAGGCATTGAATTGAGATGAACTGATTAGAACGGTATATTTCAATGCAGCATTCATTTCTTTATCTCGCCATTGAACTGTTTGTCATGGAGGATTTAAGATTATGAAACCCAAGACTGCCCCACCTATTCAGGAAAAAGACGAGTGAAATCTGTCAACTTACAGGAACAAAAACCTGCACACACTCTTGGCCCTCCCTGGTGCTCAGATAGACTTCTGAGCTGGTCTGTTTAATGTGCAGCAAGTAGACTCTCCTCTTGTTTAGCCAGGTGGCAAAGCTAAAGACCACAAAACAACAGTCCTCGGCTGCGGTGACCCTGCTTCACATTCACATAGCTGGAGGGACGAGCTGCCTACTTTGCGTCGTTTCCACATATTCTGCTCCAGCACAGGAGAGCAGACGCAGGCCTGCAGTGGCTGCACTGGAGGAAACGAGGGAGAAAACAAATGCATTTGGGGGACTTGTAGTGGGCAAACAAATCAGAATTTCCTAGGCCGTTAGCCGGTCATTACTCCGACTTGGATACAAAGAGCAAGGAGTTTAATGGTCCAGCTAAGCTAACAAATAATCCTTTGTCTGCAAAACAACCGTGGCATCACAGAAAATTACTTGGTTAAGAATAACTGGCCTAGTGAAGACACATTTGTTTATTAAATGACTAAAAGGAAAACAGTATTTACTTTAACATCAGTACAGACCTGTCATTTATATTACAGCGAAGACATTGTAGCACGTAAATGGCACAGAGCTGCTTGGTTAATGCATTTAGAAAAGGTAAATGCTTGATCTCTGTGCACATATGATTAATTCTACAGTATTTTAAATATTAGAAAGTAGAATACCGGCCTATCTACAATATTCATGAATCGCATATTATTCCAAAAGTTGGCTGTAGATAAACAAATATTCACCTGCAGAGATACTATTATACCATAAATACTATTGTAGCCAAACGTTATCGCCCTACCAAATGTAAAGTGTGCACCTATAAACATGGAGAGGAAGTAGTTGTTGCAGGTTGTAAAATGACTGCTGAGCATAAAGCTGCCCGTCTCTCAGCATCCTGTCCCTCCATAAGAAGCAGGAAGAGGGAAAGCGTCAGGATGCTTTTTGACCGTAAGCCGGAACAATGGCCCGACAACAGAACGCCTTTCTGCCCCAAAGCTGTTTTTTTTTTTTTTTTCTGAAGCTGGGTGTTGTTTTGCTACTGCCTTCCTATTTCCGTCAGGGCGTCGGAAGCATGTATTAAAAAAAAGAAAAGAAACTTCAAGGTCGCTGGGCCAAGAAGTAGGACGGACTTCTTTATCAGGTTTACTGGATTCGTAGTAGTGTCATTTTCCCAGGCGACTCAGGGTTTTGAGATTCTTAAAAAAAACAACTAAAAACTCTCATCCATCCGATAAATTTAGGCGCTGCTCGCCGTGGCGTTTTGCTGGCGCTCTGCAGAATCCTGTAGAAGTAAAGTGATGTCACATGTTGAAAGTGGAGGCTGAGTGCAGGCTGATGTGGTTACACACACACCGCGGTCACAGTGACGTATTCCTCCCAGTTTAAATACAGGGGGTGATTTCAGGAAGGGAAGAAACAAACAAAAGCACCAACATACGAAACCCACACACAGGACCAGCAGGGCTTCTGATTGGCTCGTTTAAATCATGCTTTTAATTCCACATCAGCTTTTTTTTATAAATATATTGTGAGGGTAATAAAGCAAAGCATTGC